CAAAGTATTCAGCCATTTCCAAATATTCAAATCACACTTTCCAGCAGCCAAATTATTGAGCCCAAAAAGTCCACCTAATCCCCAGATTTGTTAGATCTTATAGCTTGTTAGTAAACCAGTGCTGTTTTCTTTAATCTTGAGCTCTTGGTTCTTTTAACAACGTTAACAAGCACTTAACAAAAACTTTCCTTTTAAGTTTCGCTTTGACCACACCCTTCAACTTTTCAACACCATCTTCCCTTTTGTTCCCTCAATCTTCACAGAAGGAAGTAAAACTGTATCAGAGTTAAAGTTTGTACTTGCAATTATAATCACTCCTGTCTTTGCTCTGCCTGCTTCTTATTCAAATGTAGATTAAAACGTTGATTGCAGGGATGGTCGCGGCGTTTTGTTCTGCTACAGCAGAAGCATCCCGGACACGGAGCTCTGTCGGGCTGCTGGGGGGCTCTCACCCTTCGAGCCCCAGAATTGCTCCTGGGGGTCTATGGGGAGCTCTACCCTTGCCCGGCTGCTCACCTCCCCCACTTTTCCCAAGGGGAGAGTTTCAAGCTGCTAGACAGCTGATTTACGCTGTTCTAACAGCTTAGATGTGATCACGGGGCTGGTGACCCTATAGGAACGTCCTTCAATGCCTACAGTGCCACCGGAAGTCCCCAAGAAAAAGATGTTTTTGATGAAGGTAAATCTAAAAGAAAGGGCTCACCTAAAACAGTTAGAATTTGTAAGTGTAAATAATATATTTGAGGAGCCTGGTCCTTTGCCATATTTAACATTATTCACTGTACTTCTTTTGTACTTATCAATAATTCAATCAAATTCATTTAACATCTATTCATTCTCCTGAGCGCTGCTTGGAGAGTCCAAGCATGGGTTAAATTCTGCCTTCTGCCCAAGGACTGAATTGAATTTCTTTGGCCATGCCCTCTGGTGCTTGTTCTAGCCAGTTTTTCAATTCAGTCTATTGCCCAATGGACGTAGTCAAAGAAGTTCCAGCAGTTCTTGTTCAGATAAGTTTGGACACTCTTTATTTTTCCATTTCCTTTCCTTTATTGTCTTATTACTCTCTTGTGATATTAAGTGTGGGGTTTTTTTACCAGATTTTTTTTGTATTTTCTTCGTTATTTGTGTTTTTCTTGCTTTGGGGCAGGTAGGGAGGCTTTTAAAGTTTATTTCCTTTTCCTCTCATCACCGGGTGTTCCGGGTGCACTCGGACGCTGCAGAGGTCAGCAACAGCTGCCAGATTGCTTAAGGAGACCGTTTGTGAGCCACAGAGGCCCCACTGAGGTTTTTTTTACATTTGCACTATCGGCATTATTCGTGGCAGGTCCTCAATTTAGTGGCGGGTGGCCATTTTGCATGCCAAAAATCATGCACCTTTTTTGCTGCTGCCCATTTGCAATTGCTGATTGCCTGCCCCCGCAGATCGCCACTGGACACCTCTCCTGTCTGATTCATTCAACGGGATGGTTGAAAAGAACAGATTGCAGGCCTGGCTGCTTTAGTCAGCCTGCAGCAATAGATCTGCTCAGCACTGGGAGCGTTTTGTGAGCTCACACCATT